TGCCACTAGCTGTCATGTACAGCCCACTTAAAGAGCTTCCACGAGCTGTACAGTTCCAGGCCAAAGGGCACAAGAGAATTAGGCTCGTTAGTGCAATCACATCCATGACTCAAACGGGCAATTACTGACTGCCACTGCTTTCCAGCAGTCTACTGTGCCCTGGCAACAAAGGATGAACTTATTACATTGCTTCGTTAGCACGTTTAAGTTGTCTGCTGCGCACACCTGGGTACGCTTCCACAGCAAGGGGGACCACTAAGGTGGGCACCACCTCCTGTGGACTGTGTCACCGAGTAAAACATTAATGTAACTCCATGTTTACCAGTTTGGAGACATCACGTACCAGCTCAGCGGCTACTGCAGGCTGTTTGCACTCTTTATTTTTAAACATTTTACAGCAAACCTTTCTGGCATAGCTAAGACTTCCAATTGCGTAACAGCTGAGGGGACTAACGCATTGCTCAACTCCGCTAAAGTCAAAAACATACACACAAAAACCATCAAGGATTGCAAAGAATGGTTACAGGCAGGTTGAGCCACCTAAGGAAAGCAAATGGAAAGCAAATACACTTCTCTTCAGATTTTTAAAAAGGAAAGCGTAACCTGGAGAACTGGAACAAATTAGAACCGATACGCAATGGGTGTGTGCGTGGGGAAAAAAAAAATAGGTGGGCAAATTCCACTGCAATGAGTGACACCTGCTGCTTGCATGACTCTTGTTTTTCCTCCTTTCCAGCCCCCTTGGCACAGATTGCTAACTGCTATGGAAACGGAAAGAGCTGTTTGCCTTCTGCAAATACCAAGGAACCTGGTATTTTCACCTTGGCTAGAGAACTGAGCCAACCACGGCAATTTTTTCCCAGCTCCCCCTTTTTATTACTATTTCTCTAATCTTCAGTATGTTCGACGGACTGTAAACTGCTTTTGCCATCACAGAGGTGCTTAGCGCTGGTGGTGTGGGTTCACTGGACTTTTCTTGGCTGTGCTAATGCAACATAGAAGACTGTTGCAGGTTTCCAAAAGGCCAGTGATGTTCCAGGTTGGTGGTGGCATTTTTTTAATCTATGTAAAATTGTTTTTTTAATCTATGTAAAATTGTTTTTAAAATCTCAGTGACTGTACAGTACATGGCTAAAGGGAGGGAGCTTGCAAAATGACCAAGAAAATAGGGTGAGCACACTAACCCTTCCAACTAACTAGAAACCTTGCTGAGTCATGAACCTGCAAGTACAGCACCTCCCAATTAAATGCTGTTTCTATAAAAAGCACTGTTCCAGTGATAGTTACAGACTGGCTCTCAAACCCCAAACTATAAACGGAAAGGAAGGCTAAAAAGCAAACATAATGTACAGTGGACTTAGTGATCTTGCTAAAAGACCTGCTTGTAAAACTAGGAAAGTTTGACTAATCATTGTGACCATGACACAAAATAAGGCGCCGCACCCAGCTACTCTACATCCTGTGCTGGCTGCTCTGAGGAAGAGCAGACCAGGCCACGTGCCCCTCAGCCTCCTTCAGCAAGGCCCTTCCTGTGAAAGCCTGGCAGGCTAGGCTTCCGCACTGATTTTTCTTGTCCCCGAGTAAAAATCTTGGATTTCTAGCTCCCTACAAATGCTTTTATCTTAGGCTCTCTTAGCACAACGAACGCTGGCAGCAGTGAATTACTCCGACCCTTCACTCAATTAATTATTATACTGCAACCTGGCCTGGTTCCATGGGGGTTAGGCAACCTCATGTCCTGTGAGCCCTCTGCTCTGATCAGGTTTGCTCATCCTTGACAACCAATGGGGGGGGGAAAAAAAAAAAAAAAAATCTTTCCTGTGCCCTCTGCAGCAATGCAACCCTACCCTCCCTGCAGAGCTCAGCCTGTCCCACAAGGTCAAAACGGCACCGATGAGCTCATCTGACTGATCGGCGTCCCATGCGCGTGCATGGAATTATCATGGCGAGCTAATAGCGAGCATGCCCCCTCCAGCAGATCCTGTGGGCCCTGAGCCTTCCTCTTTGAGAGATCCCCTGTTGCGGCACAGTCACGGTCTCTTTTCTTGATTTGCAGTCCCATAGCTGATGAGTTGCTGCTGGATTACAGATCAGGCCCGTCAGCCATCGGGCACGCTGCCTCAAGAGGGAGGGGTGTACAACGCATCGCTGCGAACGTGCAGGGCACTGGGAGGGAGAGCACCAGTAGAAACCAGTGGACTGTGCCCAGGCAGAGAACGAGAGCTCAGAGGGGCGCCTGAGGAGAGCTGGTCCCCGCTGCAGGCAAGGGTTGCGCCGGCCGGCCCGGCCTTACCTCCTTCTCCAGTCAGGGGCCCTGGGGAGGCGGCGGCAGGAAAAGGCGCCGACCTCCACAGGAAACCTCCCACCCCACAGCCCCGTCCTGCCCGCCGGGGC